AACAACGGAAACAAGTGAAAGTGTATTGCCGAAGGCAAAGGGAAGAGAAAAACAGGAAGAAGGAATGATAAAGAGGAAAAAGAATATTAAACGTAAGTCTACCAATTTTAAATCACCTAGTAAAACTAACCTTGTGTGTTAATTATAGGAAGTTTTTTAATGCTCGCCATTGAATAAATTAGAAACTCAGAAATCCATCTTGCACTTGTCCTTCACGTTGGCCTATCGTCAACATCTTAACAAACTTCGTTTATCCCCGTCCGAATAACGATGTCGAAGCGGAGTGAATCGGAAGCAACGAGTAGCAGTTCCGATGAGGCAACGCCGGAAACCTGCAAGGCGTGCAACGGAACGGATGACTTCTGAATAGTCCAGTGCAACAAGTGTGACGACTGGTACCACTTCGACTGTGTGGGGGTGAATCAGGACGTCGAGAATCAAGATTGGCTCTGCTCGGTCTGCCAGAAGAAGCAGCAAACCAAGAACAAGGAATCGACAGAACCTATTCCTCCTCCGGTGCCACCCGTAAGCACATCCGTCACATCATCCATGATTTTTCCGCCAAATACACTATGTCCTCCATTAATGCTAAATGTGCCAATGTCATTCCACTCACTAATGCCACCCCCCTCGTATATGTCGCCTTATTATATGATGCCATCCTATCAGCCCATGCAAGTGACGGGTTCCATGCCTCAAATGCCACCGATATCGTCATATCGCCTGTCAAATTCGTTCGTGTCATTTTCGGGAGTGAGCAATCATGATCCGTGTTACACAGGGTCATCAAGTTCCACCCAGCCTATCCCGTCAGTACCCTACGTAGTTCCACCGACGTTTATTTCGTTTGTACCAACTACTGTTCCAAAGGAAGGACCACGAAAACAGCTGCAGGTGCCACTGCATCCAAACCATCTTCCAAAAACCAAGCAACAAGTTTTGGGGGACCTGATCTAATATTCCGAAGCAAGCTCCAGAAGATCCGCCAAGCAGAGACAGTTGAAGTTAGAGTTGCAGATTTTGGACAAAGAGAGGAAAATTCAGGAGGTCAAAGAAGCAACCAACGCGAGTACATGCGGAAACGACACGAGGTGATGAAGGAGATGGTCAACGAGAATGCTTCAATGATTGATGTGGAAGAAGAAGGAACGGATAAGAGAATTTCCGACTGGTTGGATGGGTCTTCCGAAGCAGATTACATTTCGCAGATCCGTCCGCAACACTGCAAGTGAATTGGGCAATCCAGAACTGATACCGCCAAGACCTCGATCCTAGTCCTTGTTATTTCTTATGCCTTGTTGATAGTGATAAGTCCTCGAGTTGCCTGGACCGAGGATGATCTTAAAACAAGGAAAAAATGAGTTAGTTAGTCTTCACCTATGTGATTCCTAATCTTCTATCCGTTGTTCCCTAGTTTGAAATGGTTAAAACTAGGGTTCTGATGCATTAGCACTATCGGTGTCATTCTTTAATTTTGTTGCTAAGGAATCCAATTTTGACTGACAAAGGTGCGCACCTTTGGAGGGTGTTCCAACACTCCGAAGGGTATAAATAGCGGGACCTTTCAATTAGAATCGATTCCTTGCGATGAAGGCAAGAATGACAACTGTATCAAAACCGAATACTTCATCATTTCTCAATAGTGATGGAGTAATAAGACATGCACTAAACTAAGGACACGCGATATACTACAATAGATCAAATTACTGGTCACAGTAGTTTTATGTCACGAACAGAGAAAAAAAAATCATGTGTGGGTACACAGCGGAGGAAAATCTAATACGCCTGCAGAAGGGAAGGCGTACGAAGCAGTTAAATGTAGATTGATGCATCCAAGTAACGTTCCAGGCATTATATCCACATTGAAGATGCTGTATGGAAATCCGGAGGTCATCGTACAGAATTTGGTGTTCAAGATTCACTCAACGCCGGCTCCGAAGGCTGACAAGGTGGATTCACTTATCGACTTTTCCCTGGCCGTGCACAACCTGTGCGTGACAATCGAGGCCTGCCAACTGGAAGAGTATTCCTACAACGTTGCGCTTTTGCATGAGCTGTTGGATAAACTTCCGTCAAGATTTAAAGTAGAATGGGCAAAACACCGTCGCAATCTACCACCAGTACACCTTGTGGCGTTTTTTCAGTGGTTGTACGAGCAAGCAGAAATAGTCTGTCCGATTGCAAGTCTGCAGTGTAGTGAAACTAAAGCCATCCGTAACAACAAAATAAGCTCCACTTTCCTCAATTCACACATCAAGGAGAAGTCCAGCAATCCGGAGGACAAGCCGTTTTAACAAGCAAACGCTGACCTATCCGGCTCTGAATTCAAAACGTGTGTAGTATGCAAGGGCAGCTGTTCCAGTCTGGAGAAATATCAGCGCTTCGACCACCTAGGATACAACTCAAGGTGGGCTACTGGAGGGTTCGGGATATGCTGGAAATGCCTTCGGAAACACAACGGTACGTGTAGATCCAAGCAAGTTTGCGGGAAAAACGGGTGTACCTTTGAACACCATCAACTTCTCCACAACAACCAACGTGATGGAGGTGCCACAAACGTTTCCAGAGCTTCGGGTGAAAACTCCGCTACAATTGCGCAAAACACTTCCGTTCGTGAATGCAATGCTAATCACAAATGCACAAACAAAGGACTTTTCCGAGTAGCACAGGTTATCATCCATGGACCGGGTAACTCCCTCAAAACTTTTGCGTTCCTGGACGATAGATCATCACTCACGCTAGTGGATGCATCGCTAGTGCAGGAGTTGAAGCTGCAAGGAATACCGAAGCCGTTGTGCCTCAAGTGGACCGGCAACAAGCGGTGAATGGAGACTGACTCGCTGAAGTTAGACATGGAGATTTCCGGAACAGGAGAGATTCAGAAGAAGTATCGCCTCGCAGGAGCTCATACTGTCACTAGTCTGGATTTTTTCCACCAAACGGTAGACATGCGTAAAATGTGTGAGCAGTATCCTTATTTGCGGGGTATTCCGATCGAATCCTACAAAAATGTGCATCCCCAGATCTTGATCGGTATCGACAACGCCAATCTCACATTTCCGCTCAAGCGAAAGGAAAGAAAAATGTACGAGCCAATAGCAACAAAAACGTGTCTTGGCTGGATTGTCCACGGGGGTGTGGATACTGGAGAGGCTCTAGTAGGGCATCACAGTCACAGCGTCCAGACATGTCCATGCAGTGCGAGATCCGATGAAATGTTGCAGCAAGCCACACGTGATTACTTCTCGCTGGACGGACTAGAGATCTACAAGTCGGAAAAGCTGCTGGTATCCAGTAGTGAACAGCGCGCGGAGCAGCTTCTGCAGTCAGTAGTTCAGACGGAGAGTGGTCGATATGAAGTGAGCCTTCTATGGAAACTCAACGATTTCCGTTTACCTAACAGCAAACCAGTAGCATTGAGGCGTTTCCACTGCTTGGAAGCTAGAATAAAAAAGCCTCCAGAACTAGCTGAAGTATTGCGGGCAAAGATCGAAGACTATCGTCAGAAGTGGTACATCAGAAAACTATCCGACGAGGAGATGCGAGCTTTACTAGAACGGGTGTGGTATCTTGCGTTGTTTCCGGTATTCAACCCGAATAAACCGGGGAAGGTGAGAGTTCAGACCCAGGTGGGCATCTACGAGCGTCCGGCAACAAAGCTTGCTGTTCTGGAGGTTCGACGCGATGAGTAGGTAAGCCAGTAACATGGCGTACCCGGGGTGGAGTGTTGCGGCCCCTCGGTCGCCGCCTCTCACCAAAACGAACCGTGCGTTCAGCATGAACACTAACCGTGTGTTCAACAAGGAAGCGCAAGCCGACACGTCAATGCGGCCGGCTCTCGTTTGTTTTCGACTGCCACTCATTTAACTGTATACCGCTTTCAGGGTATCAGAGTAAAAGATTAAAACGAACGTGGAAAGTGCACTCAAATTATTATTAATTGTTCTAAAATCAAGTGGAGAAACCCAAAACTAAAGCTTACTAGTATATTTATTTATTGTCCACCGTATAAGGAGCGTTACCGTCTTCTGGGAATCGAACCATTAGAGGTGAGACGGACGGTCACCACGCTATGTTCGCTGGAAAGCTGCTTACGGGTGACATTGACTGTCCAACACTGCTGTCTCAGATGAATATGTATGCCCCTGAGGGACCTCTTCGTCAACGCGACTTTCTGTTTTTGGAACCACGGCGCCGAAATTATACACAACACGAGCCAATTCGAGCGATCAGCCGGCAACTCAACAACTTCTTTTATATGTTCGACTTCAATGTATCAGCTGACGTGTTTCGTCATCGGTTACTTGGCCTTTTCCGTACTGTTGACCGTAACTATTTAGTTTAAGTTTTATTCATTTAGACAGTCATTGTCAGTTGAATTTTTCAATATACAAATAAACAAATAAACTTAATAAAAATAAAAATAAATCGTCCAGCTCTAATCTATATACGGGTAAGAGGTGGAACCGTCATAATCATCATAATCATCATCATGATCATCATCACGGTATGATTTATGGTCTACTAATGAGAATGATACTTCCACCTTCTGTAATTGTTTCTTTTCTTAAGAGAAAAGGAAGATTGGTACAGAGGTATATTCCGTTCAGAGAGCGGAAGTTTTGCTTGAATTATTCTAAGCACTACACAGTGAAAACCATAAGAGTTGTATCAATCAATGAAGCTAATTTTAACATCAAATAAAATCCTAATCTACTAAATCATCTATCAATCACATAAAAATACACAAGATGTTTAAACTCAAGTAGAAAGTATTGCGTTTAACTAAATAAAAAGATTTTACGTTTTAGGGCCGTTTTCTTCACCCCCGCTTAAATCTTAAACCAGGTTTACTCATATAGTTAAACCTGGTTTAAGGCTTAAGCGGAGGTGAAGAAATCGGCCCCTAATCTCAAAGCGTACGTACGTATTCTAAGATTTGTATTGCTCTAGAATGTATTCAGTGATGCGAAAAGCAACATATTAATAAAAATACGCACTCGATTGTTATCTTCATTGGTTGTATCCTCAATTGACGCAATCGGCGCGAGACCAAATCGTGGATTATAATTCTGCCTAAGAACTTCGTTTGCATTATTCATAGTATGATTTGTTCAATTATTTTCTCAGTTTTCACACACTATTTATGTAACGATGACAGATAAGTTAGACTTATCTTTATTATTGTCGACTAATCCAGGACGCAACCTATTTATAAGGGACTGCGATATCGATTGAGGGCAATGGAAGAGGTGTTTATAGCTTGGTATTATATGACAATATATAGCCTAGTTTCCGCTTGTTTCATCTTCAGTGTTATCACCACAAGGCGCGTAGGTTCTTTTCAAACAATAATCAAATTGTGTTCATATTAAACAAAAAATGCAAACAGGGTTTAACACATGAAATATTATGAACCAGTGATACATATTCGACCATCACTTTGATATAAACCATTAGGGGTATTCACATAGCGGATCGTAAAAATGTAAACTCTCGTAAATGCGTAAACTCCGTTGCAGTTAAATGGAACCTTGTATTTTTTCGATAGCGTACATAATAACGATGTGCTATGTGAATACCCCAATTATAAATATATCGTACATTTCATAATTGAGATACGATTCGTCCTATTCTCAAATGGAACAGAGGAAAATCGATATGTTACCACCATCACAAATTGAAACGTTTCCAATTTCCAGCACCGCTCATATATGATCAGACTATGCACGGTATGTTAGTTCATTGGGTTAATATAACTTAAGATAAAGAATAAATTGCATCTCAGATTTCTACGAATAGTTAATTTTTTTAGGCACTAGAGTGAAGGTTGAATTTGCAACTGTTATCATATTTTTCATTGTATTTTTTGTAACGTGACTCAATTTTTCTATGAATTCTTCTATACACTAACACGTGAAATGAACACAATTAGAATCCATCGCACAAATTCTCATTTCTCGAGAGTCATCTGTCGCTCAAACAGTTACAAACTTGTTTTAACATGCAAATCGAAATCATTTCATTTACACGTAGAATGATCACAGCACTGCAACCAAATTTCGATGTAAACCTTGTTCAGTAATCGAAATGTACACTTTTCCAACAATTATTCTAATTTTCTTCACTCGACTGACACATTTAATTTCGCACGGTCGGCGAGAAAAATAATTTAGGTGCTTCTCGGATGACGATAAGCGCATGTCCTACAGAGAACACAGGACAATCATATGGAACGATATGGTAAGCAAATAAGAACAATGAACTGCGCATGAACGTACTTTAGGACTATTGCTATAAAGTATTCAAAGTACAATCGTTCTACGGAAAGATTTTGATATTTCACATATATCGTGTGGTGTTCGCTAGTGTATAGTAATAATTATGATTACAATGTAAGTGCACTTCCTAACAGACAAAAATTAAATCGAGTTACCAGAAGGATGCTTCATTTTGAAAAAAAAGTGTTAGATTTCTTATAGGCCACCCCCAGTTTGATTCATAGCCCCAAAATATGAGTATGGTAAAGATTGATGAAGATTTAAACCATTTAACGTGCATAAAATGTTGCAAATATTTCGGGGAAAATGGGCTAAAATTATACTGTTAATAACTAAATTAAACTTTTGATGAATCCCAACAACAAAAACATGCTGCGTAGTAATACAAACCAAAATACCAAATGAGGTATGAATTTAGCCTTTTCTATAATAATAAGGACTGCCATTTATACAATGAAACATTATGGCTAGAACTTGGTTAATTGATTTACCGAATCCACAAAAAATCAAAGGGATCCTTATATTGTGGCACAAGTACTTGCTGGGTGTGAATACTGAGCCAAATATCTCCAAATTTATACTTCTAGCATATTCAGGACTATCATTAGAATACACAGAAACTGAAACGAGCTTGGGCAGAGCTGGAGCTGGTACGTAAACATTTGGACGAGCAGCAACGTGTTTTAGCTCGTGGCTTCGACGAATCGCTTGTTTTTCCGTCACCCACGACGGGCAAACCTTCTCACGCGGTGCCACAAATAGCAGCAGCAGAAAATATACGTCGTACAGTTACCCGAAAAGATGCACCTGCCGAATCGTCGTTTGTTACACCAATGATGTCGATTCCTGGGGAAGTGTCGCCAACTGTTTCGTACTCCCCTGTGGAAACGGTTCTCAAAAAGCTCTGCGAAAGCTGAAGATGCGGGAGCAGTGTGAAAGCAAACGAATGCCAACTCCTAAGCAACTTTCCGCCCTGCAGGTGCAGTTAGAGGTCTGCTGAAATCTGCTAGAAGGATTCCAGTCCGGTTTGGACAACCCGGTAGTCAGGATTGCTAGGTAGCTAGGATTGGAAAAACAAACCGGTGCCATCTCAAAAGTAGCCAGGATAGTGCCAACCATTCCGGAAGGGAAGTGGTTCAGACCAGAACGAAATGATGCTGTCGAAGAGGCAACGGGAGGTAAACCATCACGCATCTTATGGTCAGTAGGAATCCCGGTAAGCCAAACAGGCTTGCCGCCGGTAAGTGGAACATGCGGATCGACCGAAATTGATCCGAACTAAATGAAAAAGTTGGAGGGTGCTGTACAAGACACGACGTAAAACTACGAAATTTTTGTTAAATTTTCTGGTTTGTTCTTTCGATTTTTGTTTAGGAATAAAATGAATTTCATAACTCAACTCTTTTGTAGAAAGTTGTGGGGGCCCTGACAAGGGCCGATGGTTTGGGTGGTTTTGTATAACAGTGTAGTGTATAAAAAACAGGAACACCCCTGTTCATCAAGGTCAGTTTTGTTATCCAGCCCGCACCATCCTGCAAGGCTCTTTGTACTAAATTTTAGTACGATTAGTCATCCTGCCCATACCATCCTGCAGGTTTATTTCGCACATAAAATTACTAAACGCACCCCATTTACAACCGTCATCACCCATTACTGAACCTTGCAGGATGGTTCCTATGGCCATTCCAGAGATCCGATAATATTTTTCCGGGTATCCAGACATAGAAAAGAACCAACATGGATGGAAAAAAGAGTTGGAAAAGCAATGAATTTAGTCCGAGATGATTTAATATTGCAGATTTCCACATTTTCATGTAAAACTGGCCCCTTCCAGTACAAAACCTTGCAGGATGGTTCCTTTGGCCATTCCAGAGATCCGGAAATATTTTTCTGGGTATCCAGACATAGAAACGAACCAACATGGAAGGAAAAAAAAGTTGGAATTTAGTCCGAGATGATTTGAAAATTGCAGATTTCCACATTTTCATGTAAAACTGGCCCCTTTCAGTACAAAAAAATATAAGAAATATAATGCTAAGTATTTCCCGGAAAGATATTTCGCAGAATAACATAATTCCTGGAAAGACAACCCGAATGTTGATCCAGGTACATCATATTATCTTATCTTCGCAATTTAAGGGGCAAAGAACGATCGTCAATTTTTAAAAATTCATCAGCAGCTCTTCCGCTCAAAATCAAAATAACACTTATGAAAACGAATCACTTTATTCCGAATTGCAAAAAGAATGCAATTATTCTTTCTCAGATACGTAATTTTTGTTTTGAACGATAAAACTGCTTTTGAATTTAAAAAAAATAATTTTTTTTTATAATTACTTTATTTGTACAGGCTCAATCGAATAAACTTTACAGAGCCGATTTATCCTTTGCGTTATACATTATTACTGTCTTAAATTTAAAGTTAAAGGAACTGGACCGAGCACTCGCGGTTGTCTCGAGGTTAGTGGAGATTTACAATTTTTTGGATGGGAAAAGGGAAGAAGGAGGTTTGAAATGTGGTTTACGATACAACTATTTAATTAATCCTAAAGCATGAAATTATTTCTATTCATCTTGAAAACAAACATTGAAAAAAAAACCCACACGTACAAAATACAAACTAAACACAAGGTTAATCAAACTTACAATCTAAGGTTAATATCCTTAAAGTAAACATATATGAGTTTCATAAACTCCAGATCGCGTCTAGCCAAAATATCCCGAACTGGAACATTGGGTTGTCTACCTCGAGCCCGAAGGGAATCATAAAAATGTGATCTGACTCCACGATACTCCGCACAAGACCAAAGGATGTGATCAGCGTCCTGGTAACATTGTCCACATTCACAGAGATTGCTGTCTCCCAACCCCACACGGAACAAGTGAGCGTTTAGACAATAGTGATTGGACATGAGACGAGACATCACGCGTATGAAGTCTCGACTCAAGTCCAACCCTTTGAACCATGCAAACTTCGACACCTTAGGAATTTCCGAGGAAAGCAACGCGAGACAGTCGTTCGTTCCCTTACCCCTACGGAAACCAAATTGAGTATCTGAAAGAAGGTGGTTCGTCTCAACCCATTTGTCGAGGCGAAAAAGGATCATTTTCTCCATCAATTTCCGAATACACGACAGCATCGCGATGGGCCGATACGAATTGTGATCCGACGCGGGTTTATCAGGCTTTTTAATGGCTATCACCCTTACTCGTCTCCAATCGTCGGGAACAATATTGAGCTCCAAGAACTGATTGTACAAGTTCAACATGCGCCTCTTAGCGACGTCTGGGAGGTTTTTCAGCAAGTTGAACTTGATTCTATCAGATCCCGGGACAGAATTGCCACACGAAAGGAGAGCGAGTGAAAGTTCGACCATTGAAAAAGGGTGACTGATTTCGTCTACCGAATTCGCGGTTTCGCGAGGAATCAACTGCGACGGCACGGAATCCGGACACACTTTTCGCGCGAATTTAAGAATCCATTGATCCGAGCATTCCTCGCTTTCGTTGTTAGTAGACCGGTTACGCATTCTTCGCGCCGTACTCCAAAGCGTATTCATAGACGTTTCGCGCGACAATCCGTCTACAAACTGCCGCCAGTAACCCCGTTTTTTGGCCTTGATGAGGCTCTTGAGTTCGCGTTCAAGAGATGTGTATGCGTCGAAATGCTCGCGTGTTCCGCGTTTCCGAAAAAGTTTAAACGTGTCGGACTTTTTACGGTAAACCTCCGTGCATTGTTGATCCCACCAGAGCGATGGTGTTTTCTTACGAAAAGACGATCGCGGCACCGGTCGTGTTTGAGCTTGAAGTGCGCTGTCGACGATGAGATTAGAGAGGAAATTATATTCCTCCAACGGCGGAAGCTCTTCCACTGACGATACTGTATCGTCTATCGCGGATTGGAACTTAGTCCAATCAATGTTACGGGTTAGATCATACGCGACGTTAACGGATTCTGACGAGTTAAACCCACTGGCAATCGAAATTTTGATCGGCAGATGATCACTACCGTGCGGATCCTGGATTACATGCCAAGTGCAATCCAACGATAGTGAATTAGAGCAAAAGGTGAGGTCTAATCTGCTACCATTCGAGGATGGACCAGCCAAACGTGTTACTTCTCCATTGTTAAGTATTGTCATGTTGAAGTTGTCGCAGAGATCATAAATCAAAGTAGAACGGTTATCATCGTACAGCTCCCCCCAGCCTGTACCGTGGGAGTTAAAATCTCCCATGATCAACCATGGAGCGGGAAGTACCGCACATATGTCGAAAAGTTGTTTGCGATTAACAGAGACTCTAGGAGCAATATATACAGAAGCAATACAAAGGCTCTTACCTTTAATGGTAGCCTGACATGCGACAACTTCAATACCGGGGAATTCGGGAAGATTCACTCTATAGAAGGAATGGCACTTTTTGATCCCCAAAAGTACCCCTCCTCCACGTGAATCCTCACGATCCAATCGAATAATGTTAAAATCAAAAAAAGGGAGATCAATTTCTGAAGAGAGCCATGTTTCACAGAGGGCAAATGCATCGCAATTATTGTTATGGACTAAATACTTGAACGAATCTAATTTCGGAATAAGACTTCGACAATTCCACTGTAGAACAGTGATCAAATCCCCGACCTCGTTTGGAAAATTATCCATCGAAGGAGATGATAGCTGCAAGAAGGGGCCATTTTGAAGTCAATTGCTTCAAGAAGGATTTCACAGTCGGAAGCAATGTGAGGACAATGCTTTTCAGAGGATCAGAAATGTTGAGGTATTTGAGAATACCGTCCACAATGTCATCAAATGAGAACAGCCCAGATGAAGAAGGGGTTTTTATTCTTAAAATTGGGGCATCAGGGGTTTTGGATGTCCCC